TCATATAATATAGAATGGATCTTTGATCGTTCCAAATACAGAATTCATTATACTTCACAGCACATACAGTATGTCTTCGAGACCATAGTTGCTCAGTAGGGAACTTGCAAAACAATGTCTTTTTTGCCCAGATAAGGTTACCAAAGTCAAAATCATGTGGACATGTGAGTGGACATGTTTTTTCATCCATGACTCATTCAATGCAGATCTGTCAAAGTCAATCTTGAGTTTAATAATTAAAGACATCCAAAACTCGTTGAAGGTTGCTATGCAATTATTTACTTCAGTTAGTTCATTAGTGGGTATAATGTAAAAAGTGATCAGTTGACTTAACTTAAAAAAAGTGAGGAAATCTGTTGCCTTTAAAATGATTAAGTACTTAAAATATTAAGTTATATGAACTTGACAATTCCACAGAATTTTTTTTTTTTTTTAAGTTTTTTAACTTAATAAATTTAAGGCAATGGGTTTCCTCACTTTTTTAAGTTAAGTCAACTGAAAGAGGAAAGTTACAGTATATTTCAATTTTCCTAGTATTGGCTGTTAATGGCCTGCTGACTTACAACCTTCTTGCTCATGAATGACCTTTACTTTCTTATGCCTCACTAACTACTTTTTTAATTACACAGAAAGAACCCTTTCCCAAAAGTGGTATGTCATTGAAATTGCATTTTCAATGGCTACTCTACTGATTTCAGCATTTTAAAAATGAATTCCGAGTTTTTGTTTTGTTATATTTTTTGGCCAGGGAAATATCTATGTCTCTAAACACTGATGGGAAGTTGATAATAAAACATGCATTATACAATTAAGACAATTATATGCACTTACAGCCGCTTGGTTCCAAGCTTACCAAGCCTGCAAACCATAAATGAGTAATGAAGGAGCACATGTTATCAATCACAAATGTCACTCTTTCTAATCTCATGGTGACAAATGCGCCAGGTTCCCCCGCATCCATCACCGCATCCTATACATTAAATCATTCTGCCTTGAAATGAAATGGTAATATCACTTATGTGGCTAAAGGCCATGTAAAGAAACTGTTTTTAACTGTAGACGTGTGATCTTGTGAACTGTTATCTATTAAAATATAACATTTGCATGGCAACAGATGGACACAGAGGGGGTGAAGCATTGAAAAGAAGAGGACATAAAGTACAAAGAAATAATATATAGCAGTAAATCCATACAACACATCTCAAACAAATCTCGGGTTTTAATCATATTTTTATCGTTGAATTATTCACCCAACAGCCTAATTATATAGTCTTATTGGTGTGAATCATAGAATCATTCTGTTCAGCGAATCAATTTGTTCAAAAATGTTGATTCAATCAACAAAGCACTTCTATTGTGTTTCTTAGAGATATTATTTATTTGGTTATTTCTTTCTTTAAATGTCAGTTTAAAGCAATATCACAAGTGATTTGCGTCAGAACAACAGCCCAATTGTCTTGTGACTTGTGACTTCCTGAAATAAAGAAAAAAACTTCCAATACAAAATACAAAAAGTTCTTTACAAATATATGGTTAACAGACAACATATTTATGAAGTATATAATGTGCTAAAAAGTGCTGATTGCAAATGTAAAAAAAAAGATAGGCAAATTAGTTTAAAGCCCATATGTAAATAGCATACTATGTTCACCTTAAAGTAATGGAGGTTTTCCCCCCACACAGGAAACAGATTATTAGAAAATCATATGAATTTGACATTGAAAAATGACATGGACAAATAATACATTTACAAGAGGGATTGCACCTATTTCATGTACAGGAATTTGATATTATACTTTAGTTAATGACATTTCAGCATGGTCTATAAGTCTTCGTATAATCTTGAATTGTTATAAGCAAACAGTATGTACTTATAGGCTTTTGAGCTCTTTATTGTGTACTCAATCCATTTATACCTCCAAATGTGAAGTATGCCATGTAATTTGCAGCTGGCACTGCTGCAAATGAATTTGAGGGGCCACGTACTTATTCTGCTCTAAAAGAGATTGTGGGATTTGAGACTTTGCTAAGCTTAAATTTGTGGGCCTTATTTAACTTGTTTTACCTACATACAATTATCAAGTGACAGGAATTTTGAGGTTTCTGTGTCCTATATCCCTATAGCAGGGGGCAAAAAAAAAATGTTTGCAGATCTGATTGTGTATCAATCCACACACACACTAACACAGTCTCATCCCAAATCGTCATATAACTGACGTTTTGGGACGTCTTTTGACCATACGTCAATATCCGCCTTTTTAGGGCCCCCTTAAACGTCGGTAGATGGCGATCCCGGGCCGTCATACAACTGACGCTTTACCTTTAACGTCAGTTAGGTGACGGGTTAGGTTTAGGGTTAAGTTTAGGTATGGGGTAGAGTTAGGATCCCATAACCTCATCTACCGACGTTTAAGGGGGCCCTAAAAAGGCGAATATTGACGTATGGTCAAAAGACGTCCCAAAACGTCAGTTATATGACGATTTGGGATGAGACCGGGTTGCACACACACACACACACACACACACACACACACACAAAACTGATTTGGGTTACATTCAACCTTCTAATTTTGAATTATACCACTGTAATGTTTGTGAAAACTGTGTGCACAGAATTATCTCAAATTAAGCCATGTGGTAACGAGGGAGTCAACTGAAAACTATAGTCTAAGAAAAAACAAATGGTTGTCTTGTGACACACCCAATTCCTATAAAACAATTTTTGTGAAAATCCACCAAGTGCATGAGTTACAAAGGGTCAATTCCTGTGATTCCATCAGTTCTGTAATAAATTACATCATAGTGTCCTGCTGTTCTGTGAATGGCCACATTGAAGCCTGTCTAAGTAGCAAGGGTCTCGCTATTGAACTAGAATTACATCAATATTCACTGGACCATAGAGCACTCTTTGTGTCCTCAGCAACTACAAGATTGATTCTTTCTCTCTTCCTCGGTTTCTTTTCTTCAATTTCTCAAGTCTTCAAAGGAATCCAAATACTCCCTGCTGTTTGAAGAAAGTAGTACATATTACACATAAAGCCTGCTTAAACTGTATGGCTGCTGTTAAATGAAAAATGTATGTAGGTGGAAGACCTGATTATAGGAGCGATACATTTGCGATGATAGTGTTTCTCCACTTTTGCCAAAGACAATGGCATTGTGCTCTGAATGTGGGCCCTCTACTGGATATTTTAAAATCCACCTCATTTGGGATTGCATGTACAGTATACATGCTTGATAGAGGCATTACTAGTAGTACTAGTTATCATCATCATTATGGCTGTTGTTATAGGCAGGATGTGGGAAGATGCCCCCCTTAAAGGTATACTCCACTTTTTTTTTTTTTTTTTGGTAATGGGATCAGAAACTGTCTGGTTAGTGATATTCTTCTAAATATCAGAAAATCGGCTGAATGGATTCGAAAATGGTAAAACCCAACTGTTTAACTCTGAGGGAGTTGTAATATGAGCCTATTTCCAAAAAAAAGTAGAGTATCCCTTTAAGGACAATGTGGATTTACTTTTAAATTGTAACATTTAGATATAAGTTTAGCATGTGCAGGATGATGATGCATCAGCCAATGTGTTATTAAAGGAAATAAATGGAAACATTTGCTAGTTTAGATCACAAAATGGAGCTGTTACAGCCCAAAATATCAAATATTAAAAGAGGGTTAAGCTGGCCCCTACTGGGGTAAGTTGGGCCCTTGTATCTCAACATGCAATTACAATATTTTCCAGAGACAGACAATTAGATCAATAACCTCAAACCTGTTTTGACAAACTAAATCTCACAAATTGATATTCAGATGAAATGACAAAAGTGCTGAGATGAGCATTTTCTGCCATCTATGGTCAGGGAAAAAAAAGATTATCTTACCCTAACTGACCTGGTTTTGACAAAAGCTCAGTGCTATAGAATTAACGGATCAACCGAAGAGCTGAGTGCTATAAACTCAAACTAATCATTATGGTTGGAGATCTAAAATAATTGATTTCAACGCCAATTCTTTCAATTGCTTCAAGTGTGACAATGTGTCAAAATTATCAATAGCATTTCGTGCCTTAATGATCTGCTGAATCTCATCTCTCAGATGAAACAATGATAACTGCATAATGACAAAATGACACCCTTTCGAATTTGCACTCACTTGTCCAGGATGCACTTTTAGCACATTTTAAATTCACACTGCTATATTTATCATTAATTGCTGTTAACACCACAGCAAATTAAATCTGAGAAACGAGAAATTGTTTTACATGCGCTCTTATAAGTAACATGACAGAATAAACGTTTAGCATAATGGTCACGTATGAAAAAGAATTTGGTCCTACAGTAAAATCCTGTTAAATTTAAAAAAAAAAAAAAAAAAAAAAAACATCAGCTGCTGTTGCCAGAAAATCCCTGTGAAAAAAAATGACAGCATGTGGTGCTGTTATTATAGTTCATGTAATTAACTGATATCATGTTGAAATCAACTTTGAGCGATAACATATTATGAATCAAAGATCATATGAGTCCCTTGCCATTAACCATTATCCAAACAATGCACAGTGTCTTATGTATACACAATGACACCAGAATAATGCAATAAACAACATACAAAGTAAAATGTACCCTTCCACCACCCAAATATTGAAAAAAATATGAGCAAATATAACAGACGGCAAAAGACGCATTCCTGTTATAAAGTTCAAATTCATTAGAGAGCACACATATTTTTCTTAATTAAAAGGTCTGCAGAAATGTCTGATTTATTTCACTTCTGGAACTGAATCATGGTAGACCACTTAAAAAGGAACAACCCCACACGTTATTGCTCGTAAATGTGTTAGGTCACTAAACTTAAGGTCACGTTAATTGTATACAAGAGAAAAGTGAATCAAACATAGTGTAAACATTTTACAATGCGTGCAATAGAGGGTTAAGTCAGACCGTGTGCATGTGTATACATACCCAGGAGGAGGGGTTTTGCGCAGGCGCACTGGAGCCACTAACCACACGCGGCTCAATCACGACATTTATTCGGCGTTCACTATGCATCACCTCAACACTCTCGGTGTAAGGACGCCCAAACACAGTAGACTGTACTGTAAATACTACACGTGCCACATCCACTTCACCTTACAGGATTCTCTCCGCAAATAACATGGGTTAAGAGGAGGATGTCTGGATAATTCATTTCAACTCTTTGCAAGGATGGGGACTCGGAGATTGTTTTCTGGCAGAGGCATTTTGACAAAGACGAAGAGAGATATCAAAGAAGGGCTTTAATATCATCCTTCAACTCTTTCATTTCATTTCCTTTCCTTCTTTTCTGTTTTGAGAGATGATCGCAGAGTTGGTGTGCAGCGCCGTGGCACTGCTCCTCTATGTCAACACTCTGGACGCCGATTTCTGCTACGATGACAGGTATGCCAATGAATGACTCTGATACATCTGCACGTTCTTCCTCATCATAGTGAGTTCAGCGGTTTCGTAGCAACCGGAGAACGTTGAGCCGAATGTAGTAGCGGCGGCTTTTGTTCTATTGATTCTGTTACATGTTGCGACAACGCAGGGAATGGCGGCGCGAGCATGACAACTGTCAGCAGATAAACACAGCCAGTGCAAGTTTCAAACCTCGAGTGCTGTGCGAGTTTTTGCTGGTTTTCTTTTGCAATGCGCTTAAGGACGCGAATCACGTGCTATCTGTTTGTGATTGAATGTAAAGTGATGCCTAGAATATCACAATCTCTCCGTTTATTTATCACAGGGGAATTGTGTCAGCCGGGGCGAATTTAGGATTAGTGTCAAATGATTGCTATGATTGCATTTCTGATCTTGTTAGTAGCCTACTTTTGAGGAATACATAATTTTGAATTCTTACTGCCCTCAGCAGTCTTCTACCACAAATTAATAAAAAAGATAAATTAAAAATAAGTTAACAGATTTTTAGTGACTTTACATTTACTTTTTTTTTTTTTTAATTTTTAGAACAAGACAAGTGCGATCGATTTCTAACTGTGTAGCCTATAGTCTTCATTAAAATTCTGACTAAAGTATTTGACAACATTTCATTCATTCATAACATATAATTGATTACACATTGCGATATCAGAAAAAAACCTATGATTGTAGTCTCACAAGCCATAAATACAGTTTTTGGTTCATTTTGCATCAGACATTACGAACGTAATTTGCGGTTCAGTGAGTGAGTCAGATTAGTTCAGGAACCACGACGGCTGATTAGGCTAATACGTGTTTTTAAAAAGATAGTTCTCTCAAAAATGAAAATGTTGTCATCACTTACTTAGTACCATCAAGATGTTCCAAACCTGCATGAGTTTCTTTCTTTCTGTGATTTGATGAACACAAAAGAAGATATTTTGAAGAATGTAGGTAACCAGACAGTTGACGGCACCCATTGTCGTCCATAGAATGGCGAAAAAATACTATTGAAGTCAATAGTTGCCGTCAGCAGTCTATTTACCAACGTTCTTCAATATTATCTTCTTTTGTGTTCAACAGAAGAAACTTATACAGGTTTGGAACTACATGAGTAAATTAAGGGAAAAAAATACATTTTTGTGTGGACTATCACTTTAATTCCCTAGAAATAACAGACTTGTCATTTGTTGGGGAATGCTCTGGCTGTTCTGGCAGCTCTGTACGGTTTTAAATTCAACTAAAGATAACCAGTTAAAAGGACAAATTTGTTTGGGATTCAGACTGTACTGGTGTTGTGTCAAAGTCTGCTCCCCTTTGTTTCCTATGGACTCTAAACCTAATCCTATTCCTAACCCTATCGGTAACATGTGAGGAACAGACTTGGAAGTAAGATGCATGTTTTTAATTCAATAAGAGGAACGCAGTTAATAACCAGAACGTCATGAAAATATCATGCAAACCCTAGTAATATTAAATACTTTTTGTAAAACAAATATCTCAACACTTGCTTCGGCCACTTGTAGGCTACTTAATGGCTGGCCAAGCCAAATATCAATCAACTCTCACAGGAAGAACGGTAGCTCTTTATAAGCTATTCACCCTGCCACCCCATGGGGATGACAAATTTATTTTCCTAAGTAGCGTTAGGGCACTTTACATTAACATTAAAGAAACCAAGAGCTGCATGACAGTTCCGCACAGTTGAGAAGCAATAATCCTGAGAGCAATCAAGCAATGAATGTGTCAACTGTCGCAGATTGTGAAATTAATATGTCTCCAGGGTTAGATTCCTAAATTTACAGTGCCTAATTTATTTAATTAGACCTCTAACAACTTTCTTATGCTATAAGAACCATATGCTAAACATGTTTTTCTTTCTTGGTGCACTTTACTATGTCAAAAATCTGTGGAATTTAAAAAAAAAAAGGGGCCCGACTCCGTCGTTTTCCTCAGGGCGTCCTGACGCGCTTCTCTTTAATTTTACTCAGCTATTAGAGCAAGTGCAGTCCTGGGCATTGAGGGCAATAATACCAAAGTTCTAGTTACTACTTGTATAGTAGCATACTGTAC